ATTATATACCATGTGAGTATTATTAACTTTTTTTTGAGTTATGACACGACTTGGTCATACATATTATATATATATATATATATATATATATATATATATATATATATATATATATATATATATATATATATATATATATATATACCATGGCATTTTAGAACCTTTTTATTATGTGAATATTAGAGTTGATTTTATTACGGTTTTCTTTATTTTATCAGTTTAAGCGTTGCAAAACAGATTAGCAAGTTTGTTACATGTAAAACAAGAGAATTTAATATCAAGATTCTCATTATTACCAAGATCTTAATATTTACTAAAGTAATCCTTGAATTTTAACTTATTTACTTTTTTTTATTTACAAATTAACCCCTTTATTTACCTATAAATACCCCCCTAATTCTCAAGTTTTAGACACCAAAAATAAAATTCTTACAACTCTTCTCTCTAAAAAATTCTCCTCTAATCTTAATTTTAGTTAAAATCTCTCTAATTTAGCTTTATTATTAAGTTATTAGCTTATTAAAAAGCATCTTATAATTAAGTTGCTATTTTTATTTAAGTATTGTTATCTTTAATTCCTATAAAAAAAACACAAAAATATTTCAAGTTCAAGTATTGTTGTTATTATTATCTTTGTTAAAAATATTAGTTTAATTGCTTAAAACCAAAAACAAAAGTTTTTTTTCTTAAGTTTAGCTTTATTTTTCAAGTTTATTTTCTCTAATCAAAAAAAAAAAAAAAAGAGTTCATTAGCTTCATTTTGATTTAGTTTCTTTAATATATCAAAACTTAAAAAAAAATTACTTAGACTCTTTAATTTAATTTTAACTAAGGAGTGATCATATTTTCATCCTCATCAAACCAAAGTGGTTATCCAAAAATTGCTACATCTAGCTCAAAGTATTATCTTCAATCTTTTCTTAGTTTCCTTAATTATTATTATGCTAACTAACATGTTTGTTTCCATTTGATGTTACCAATAGGGGTAATGATGATATTAGGTGCTAAATTAGCCCTAAATATTTCATTACTCCACATTAGAAAGCCAAGCCTATTGGTGAGGTGATAGGTTAAAAGAGGGGGGTAATTGCATTTTGCATTGCATCTCTTTCTAATGCATTTTAAATATGAAAGATTAATACATTCATATGTCTGCTTAAAGCATATTTTTAAGGACGATTTATTTCTTAAAGTGAGTTTAAAGACCTAATGAATTAAGAGTTTATGTAGAGTTTGTTCAAGAGTAGTGAGTTACTTACCACGTCCCAAAGATGGCCTATGAAAGAACCTTTACGACCAGAATCAGTTCCAGTTCTTTAGCTCAAGTGATAGAACTTTTCAAGAGCTTTCCAACCATATCTCACAATAATTTTTTCAATTTTTCTATGATTTTTAATGATTTTTTTAGTTTAAACTATCAAAAAATTGAAATATGCACGTTTTTCTCTTAATTGCCTTTTAAAATTTTAATTAATGGTGGCATGAAACCTATATTACACCACATTATATATATACTTCTTAACTTATGAAGTTTATATAAAAATGTCTTTAATCTTATTATAAAGATGATTTTAGAAATAAGAGTTTTAACAAGCCCTAATTCTAAGTGTTGTTTTAAGAAACTTTAACCTTATTTTAAAGATGACTTCAGAAATAAGAGTCTTTAATTCTAAATGTTGTTGTTTTAAAATCTTTAATCTCATTATAAGATGACTTTTTAAATAAATGATGTCTTAAGGATTTTAATTTTCTTTTAAGACTTTAGAAATAAAAGTTTTAACAAATTTTATTTTTCTTTTATAATTTTTGTGAACCTTCTTATTTCAAACCCTTTTGTGAAAAAGAATGAATCATAACTTTGATTGTTTGTTTTTAATAAGTAATAATAGTTAATATGAGGTTATGGCCTCATTTCCAAACATGAGGTTAAGATTAATTATTTAGTCATATAAGGTTGTAACAATTATCCATCTCCATGAAAATAAGCTTACATCCCATTATAATTACCCGATGGATTAATTGACAATCGGATATGATTAAATAGTTTATTGTTCCCTTTTATTTGGAAGAAAGGCCTTGACAGGCGTCGTGTTTTACTTGGCCAATTCCATGAAGCCTAAACACATAACCCTTAAAACCTTACAAAAAATTAACCTTGAGTGAATTAAACCCAAAGTGAGATTATATAGTGAACCCTTACAGTTTCGCTCCAAAAAATACCTTGACCCAATTAAAAGTCGTCAATTGGGACGCATTTGTTGAATTGTCTAATTCAAAAGACATTTTTGGTGATCACTAATCGGGGTGATTTTCCTCAACCAAGGTGGTTCATTTTACTTTTATGTGTGAATCCGTCAAAGATCACTAAAATCCCACTTACAAAAATGACGTTTATGTCAACAACCCAGATAAAAAAAACCCAACGGAATTGGTTATTTAAAACTGGCATTTGTCCGAATTACGAAGGTTTTGATCCGTGAGTGAATTCAAAATCTCACTATGATCGGTACGTAGTGCAACTTTGGTGCTCAAACCTACCTTGTATTAATTATTTTTTATGTGGTTAATATGTCTTAAAACTTGATTTTTGACAACGCAATAGTAAGAGCCCGTTCCTTAGAACGGAAGAGAAGACGAGTTCTAGACGTTCGATTCTCTTAACCTAAACCCCGAACCCTATGCCTTTTTTTTTTATGGAGTTAGCAGTTAATTTTATTTATTTATTTTTATTTCTTAAAATTGACTGTTTTAAAACCCGTCCTTATTCGGATAAAAATAAGGTGGCGACTCTAATTTTTGTTTATAAGTCTTATTAGACACCTAATTGGAACCTTTATAAACTACCTTCTGTCCACTAAAAACCAGGTACCACAATAATTTTTTTTTTAAACACACCTAAAACCAGAATTTTTTTTTGCGAGAACACACCTTAGGGTGGTTTTAAGGGGATTGACTCGGTTTTCCGGCGTTGACCATACATGAATGTCATGTGCTGACAACCTTTCTTCTTTTCCCGGCCCCCCTTTTTCTCCAATTACTTTCTTTCTCCTCAAAACCACCAAACCACAACCTAGCCACCGACACCGACACCACCACCCAGCCAAGCCAACCACTGACTCCACCACCCACCAACCTAGCCGCCGTCACCAACCACTTGAAAAAACCCCTTCCTTTCTTTTTTTCCCCTTTCCCCTCTAATTAGACTTTCTCTCTCCTCTTTTTTTCCTAGCAACAAACCTTCGAATCCTATCAATTGAAGGGGTAAACTCCATTTATTGCTCAAATTGCTCCAAAGAACCTTAATTAACCTAATTTTGAGGCAGGTAAGTTGTTAAAATTAATGAAATTGATTGTTAATTTCGTCGTTTTTATTTACCTCACTTTAGGGTTTTCAGTTAGAGGTATGAAAGGGGGAAAAACCACTACCAACCCACTTCTCTCTCTATTATTTTGTTTTAGGGTGTTAAGGGTTTTTGTCAAGATTTTTGAGGTTGTTTATGAGGTGGTTAGAGGTGTTTATGGAGATGCTTAGGGTTTTTTTTGGGTAGTTTTCCTGGTGGGTTTAGAATGATTTGGATGGCTGGTGATGGCGGCTAGGTTGGATATAATAATAATATATTAAAAATTAAATACGTTAATTAAATAAAAAAATAAATTAAATTGTTAAACCATTAATATAATGACATGTGTCCCATATAACCCGTTAATTAGGTTCATAACCGGTCATGACTTGTTTTAAGCGAATACCCTACAAAGTTTGTACTATTCAAAATAATCAAAAGCTTGACTTGTTTTTCGCTTAAAGTTTGTATTATTTTTGACAATTTTTTCAAAATTTTATAAGGTGTTTTTTCACAACAATTTGGTTTTAAAAGGTGTTATCTGACAAAATTTTTTTTTTTATTATAATTACCACCTAGTTTTTTCAAAAACCCAAAAATTTCCCACCACTTTTGCCCAACTCTGATCCCCTATAAGATCAGACATCACGATGGGTCCCACTAACTAATTTTCCTTCTCTCTTCCTTTGAATCACAATCTAACACGTGTTAGGTAACCTGAAATATCATATCATTACTAAAATCTCTAAAATTAATAATCCATCCGTCCCTTAATTAGATGGCTACTTCTCTTTATTATGTGAGTAATAAATGCTAGAAATAGGCATCTAATAAAGGGACGAAGGGAGTATTAGCATTTCACAATTGATTATAAAAGATAATTACCCATAGGTAACATTATTGTATTTGACAGGTGGCTTTGAGATAGCTAGCATTTATTGGATTTGGAATACAATAAATGCTACCAATAGGTAAATATCAACAATAATCAATTGTGAATTTGTGATATGCTAATATTAATTGCAGAGAATTAATTATATTCACACCTATCAAAATTTTCATATGTGGTTGGTCATATCTCATACCACTTGGCCAGCCATTATGAGGTTACTCAAATAGCCGTTTAAAATACCTTTTCTTATACTTCCTCTATTTTTTTTATAGTTGCAACACTTCTCTTTCCACGCTTGCCAATGTATATTTTCAATTGTTTATATCTTTAATTACCAATATGTAAAAATTATTAACATTTTATATTAATATTGTATAAATCGATACGAATCTAACAAAATCTCATATGACTATACCTTAACTTAAACATAAATCGTTAAAGTTAGTCAAAGTGAAACAAGTGAATAGTGTAAAATTCAACCTGTTGTAACTATAAAAAAAACGGAGGAAGTATAAAGTTATAAAAGTCATCCTTAGTTTGTATTTTCTCTCATTTAATGTATTTGATCGGTGGCTTTGAGATAGCTAGCATTTATTGTATTTCACCAATAGGTAAATATCAACAATAATCAATTGTGATATACTACTATTAATTGCAGAGAATTAATTATATTCACACCTATCATAATTTTCATATGTGGTTGGCATACCATGTGGCAAACCATTATGAGGTTACTTAAATAGCCGTTTAGAATACATTGTCTTAATAAAGTTACAAATGTCACCCTTAGTTTGCATTTTCTCTCATTTCTTCCCCTCTTTCAATTCTAAACTCTTTTAATTTTCCTTTCACTTAATCTATTGCACTTTTGTATTAGCATCAAATTGGTTGATATAGGTATGAATCTTAACTTTGAATTTCCCCTTTATCATTTGCAATAATTATGATGAACTAAATGAATATGTAATTTACAGGAAAATAATGGATGCGCCAGAGGATGCTTTGTTAGAGATCCTAGCTCGACAACCAGTGAAGTCGTTAATTCGATTCACTAGTGTATGCAAGTATTGGCTTGATATCATCTCATCGTCCGAATTTGCAACAAAACACTATGCTACTCGTCTTTCACAAAATTTTGATGAATATGGTTCATTATTGATCCTGAATCCCCCAGCTTGTTCCATTTCAATTTTATCTTACAAAAACCTCGCTTTGGAAACAGCCTTTAAATTTAGACCTGCTGTTGATTATGAACAACCTAAGTATGATATATATCATCGCGATGTAGTTTATGAGTTAAGCATTCACGGCCCTTGTAATGGCCTCTTCCTTCTTTGTTTCACGAAACATGGAATTAAGTATGTTTTGTGGAATCCTGCTACTAGAGAAATATTTAAACTCCCTGCCACAGGTATTTTTCGAGTGTCTATTATCGGTATTGGGTTTGATAACAAAACAAATGATTACAAAGTTGTTCTTGCTGATGTATCGGAGTGTTCTGATGGGATGCTATTGTATTCCCTTGCTGCTAATTCTTGGAGGCATCTTGATGCCGGTTTTGAATTTGGGCATGGTTGTATTATTCATCGGAATTTATCCTCGTGCTCAAATGGTCGTATGCACAATTCGATATATTCTCAAAGTATTGATACACGTTTGTGTAATCATAGCAAAATTCTCTCTTTTGACATGGTGGATGAAGTATTTGTGCTGACCCCTATGCCTTATGAGTTAAACTATAGCTCTGAGTTAATAAACTATGGGTTTTTGGATCAAGGCTCAAATCATATGTACCCGACCGTGTATTATTTGATAGACCCACAATGGGTATGGATATTTGGGTTTGAAGGAGTATGGTCCAACAGGGTTTTGGAACAAACAACAATCTATCACAATTTTTGATGATTTTATCAGATATAATTATAACTTACTATTGTGGAAGAACAAGTTTCTTGTGTCTCGCTGCAGTGTTGAACAAGAACCAATGGTTTGGTATGATCTGACAACACGAGAAATCAAACCGCGTCAAATTCCTGGATAATACATTTTTAGCTATACAGAGAGTCTAATTTCTATTGCAAAAATCGCAGGCCATTCACCACCACCACAGTATCATTTATCAGTTGAAATTGCGCCTGAGAGATCACATCAGAATGATTTATCAATTGAAATTCCACCTAGGGCATTACTTCAGGATCATTTATCTGCTGAAATTGCACCTGGGGAACTGCCCTTGTTACAGCAACAACAATATGCGCAACCAGGATTGCAACATGAGCATCATCAAGAGGATTCATCCGTGGAATTACCCTTGTTACAGCAGCAACAACAACAATATGCGCCACCACATGAGCATCATCAAGAGGATTCTTTAGTAGAAACTATGTTTCAACAAGTGCAGCTTGAAGGTGAACTAAAACAAGAAATTGATGAAGACAGTGATAATTCGTCCACTGACAGCGCGTTCCAGATGCCTCCTAAAGGAATAAGTTACTGGGAGATGGGAAGCATTTATATTGATTGTGAGACAGAAATGAAACTTGGTCCTCTCAGAAAAAAAGAGTTGGATAAATTAGACAAGCTGCCATATGTTCTTCGAGAAGTTAACCAACCAATCAGTTCTAACCCCTGTATATTTTAAGATTTCAATTAGGCAATAATATAGCTCTTTCATTATCTATCGTTTTATTTATTATTGGTACTTTAATTATATTGTTTGGGCTGCTCTAATGTAATGCACTAGATATCTTGATGAATTATCCAATACTTTGCCTAAGTATTACGCTAACTTGAACCAGCATTCTTTTGTTTTTTTTTTTTTTTGTTCGAGTTGGCCTATTTAACTTGATCAAATACTTGCTCGAGCTCAGCTTGAGCTTGATCGTATGCATTTCAAGCACAAGATTGAACGAGGTTTAAACAAGCTTAGTATAGCAAACAAGCATTAGTAAAAACAACAAGTTACAATCTATCAGTACCTCCTAGGCTCCTAAGAGCATACTACGTAATAAGTTAAACATTTACTTTATGAAAGAGAACATAGAACATAATGAGAAACTCATTTACACATAATTACTTGTGAATCTTACAATTCAAACTTGATTCTTAATATCATCAATTAACAATAATGCCTCTCTCTCTATTCAATTTTTTTGATGAATAAGCTTTAACTGAATTTATCTAGAAGTAGTTCCCATACTTATCAGCTCAACTCACTCTAGACCACATAAGATCCAAACTTTTCATTCCAAACACTATTAAGGTCAATTAATTAACACTTACTAAATGAGGCGATTATTGAACAAGCTCCAAACCTTTATTTCCAGTTGTGCAAAATTCAAGAACTAAATAATGATCAATATAATATTCTGGAATAATGTTTAAAAACCACACCTTGGAACAGCAAAATTGTTAGCACTACTGAGAGAAGCTGGACCGAGGTGAAAAAAAACGCAGATATACATTGGCAAAGTATTGGATAATTCACAGCTTCTCTCCCTATGAACAAAATTGTGGTACATTAATGCCGCAACACTGCTTATTTTGCTTGATTACTCTCGTGATGTTTCCTCCCAGCCTCAATTGCCTCCCTGTGAAGATCACAAATTCAAGATATTGGCAATGACAGATTAGACTAAACTATCACTTTGAAGATCAGAAAGACCAATAAACTTCAGAACCACATTAAAGGAAGATCGGATAGGAACTTGGAAATTACCTAAAAGCAGTAACTAGCTCCCTATTTTCTGGGTCAAGTTGCACGCCTTCATAAAATGCATTGGCAGCGTCCTCAAACCTCTAAAATAGCATAGAGAAGGGATTAAATCTAATCTTATAGGAAGCATCATCTTAACATATGTTTTTTGAACGGAATAATATATAAGGAACATACCTCTAAGAGACGTAGTGCAGCACCCTCACGATAGGCAGCCTTGGCCCAGTTTGGTCTAAGTGATCTGCATGCCTTAGCATCAGCCAGTGCTTGCTCAGCTTGTCCCAGGAGAAACCAACACAGACTTCTATTCGAGTAGAATGTGGCATCAGAAGGGTCTAGATCAATGGCCTGTCAAATCACCAAAACCCATCAAAAATGTTATCAGATCAGGACTTATACAAGTAGATGCTAAAGATTAGTCGGGGTTAAAACTTTAAAGAATAGCTTGTATCTGACTCTGATAGTTAAACCTTACCAGCCTTCACCATAAGTTTCTAAAAAAAAAAAAAGTGTACAGATGTGAAAATATCATCTAGATTTATTGCAAGTAGTTTTTGGAGATAATTTTTCTGTTTCAACTACACATAATATAAAACAAATGACAAAGTAAACATGATTTGTCCATAAATATCAAATTTGGCCTATTCAGTTGAAATTAAAAGTAGTTTAAAACGAAGGCAGTAATGAATCAAACTCAGGAATCTACTCATAACTTGTCCCAAAATATAATTCCTCCCAACTTGAGTAGCTCATCAGAAATTTGCACTGTTTCCTCAAGGCATCTCCAGTAAACTCTTAATAAATGTTTCATACCTCATGCTTTACAAAGACCAGATAAGTGATCTTAAAACCTAGGATAAAGTGATAAACCTGCACTAATCCCCTTTTCTTAAGAACGACTCTATAATGAAAATTAGAAATTAACCTCAAACAAAACATCCTCTAGCAATCTACAATTTTGATTACCCCTAGTTATTAGTTATGGAAAGGGGCTTGAGAACAAGTTAACTGTGTGCTTTCAAAAACATGCTAAGCATGTTCCTTGAGGAATAAAGATTTTTTAAAAAATGTTCATATGACAGCATCAGACAGGTTTACAAGACAGGCAGCCTAAACTGTATATCTCAGGTCAGAGAAGATTAAAAACTGCAGCTGGGTACATTATGAAGACACAGGCGTAATTATGAAGACACAGACACAAAGTACTAGATTCAATAGCAGAAGCTGGTATATGATATAGTATATCAAATTTAAATAAAAAAAAAAAAAAAAAATTACTCATACAAGGTATGCACATAAACAAGAAATGACATGACTTTACCTGTGTGTATGCATCTGTAGCCAATGCATAGTCTTTCCTGTTGAAAGCTTCATGACCTCGTGATTTTGCTTCTGCAGCTTTCTGCTTTGCCTCAGGTGTCACCTTTTAATTTGAATACAATATGTCAGTAGTGTTATGAAACCAAAGTACAAAACAGCTTGCCCAAACTCATGTAAACATGTAACATCAGCATAACACCACAAATGTAAACTCCAGAGAGAAAATATAGGGCCGACTGACGTAAGAGAAAACTCCAACTTCCAAAAAAAAACCATAATATTCAGATGATTGACAGGCATGGCAGCACACTACAGCCACCTAAAAAATGAATGTGGCAAGACTTAGATATGAGACTATGAGAGCGATGTAGTTGTAACTCTTAAGTTGCACTATGTACAAAAAAACTTCCTTGTGTAGTTAAATACTCCAATTTTTATAGTTTACCATTTTGACTTTTTGCACTAGTGAACAATGGTGATTTATGTATAAAAACATATATATGAGGGATTGTGTTGGAATCGTCTCAATGTATAGTTTCTGAATATTAACTTTAATAATTTTTTTCTTATTGAATACTTTCTCTCTATTAATATTGCATCACAGGGGAGGGCACAACTATTTTATTTATATATTTTTTGTAGTGGAAGGAAAGAGAAGAAAAATACAAAATTGCCCATGTTATTGTAAGCAAAAACTACAGAAACATGTGTTAAAAAGTAAGGGTATCGGGTATTTCCAGTGTGAAGAGATATTTGTTTCCCTAAAAAGGCAAGTGGTGCAATATTTGTGAAACTTCCTTAAAAGGCAAGTGGTGCAATATTAATAGAATGGAGGAACTAATTAAGATACAAATGGTAAAATTTAAGCCTCGACAAGCATGAAAAGTCAAATGGGTGAAATAAAAAGAAAAAGAGATAGTACATAATCATAAAAAAAATTGCACCATGACTGTTTTAGATTATGCTTACTGGCAGCAAAAAAAAATAAAATGGACATAATTCTTTCCATTTCCCACTTCTCAATACCATTCACCAGCAAAGATTAAAAAAAAAAAAAAAAAAAAAAAAACTGATTTTATATGCTTACCTTAAGTGTCATAAGAAAATACAAAAAATGTCACAGGTGGAATTTAAAGATGAAAAATAATCAAAGAAAGAGCAAAAGTGGCACTCAAGTAGTATCTGATGTTATGCTAAGGGGGCACTGAACCAGAAGTTCCATAACAAAAGAACAATACTAATAGGAACAAGGAATAATTAAAAATGAAATGATAGCTCAGTAATGTACCTCAGGCAAATCCTGCCTTAATAAGTTGGTATTCTTTTGTGAATTAAGTTCTTTGAAACTTCGGGCAAGCTCCTACAATAACAATGCAAATCAATCCCTGCTCTAGTAAGTGATAGCAGGTTGAAGTAGAACAATACAACTAACAACAATTTAGAATGGTATATATTCAAAAAATGAAAAAATAGATAAAGACTTGGGCAAATGATGGATGAAAAAAAGACACAAAAGCAACAAATGGATTAAATAAGACCATGAACACTAAAAAGTGCCACGCAAGTGATGCAACAGTACACTCCACGGGTAATACCAAGGATATGCCTTTTAAATAAACTTCAATATATTAAAGCAAAAGCAGAATCACTTAAACTACACTTTTAACCATGATTCTGTCAACCTCTTCATGCCACATTCAATTTCTATAAGGCAAGGCTTACCCTGAATCAATATGGGTAGAATCCTATAGCCACTACAGTATAAGTAGAAATGCCTGACTAATGAGCAAGTTCATTATTCACTCCCCCCTTGATCTTGGTCCATCTTCAATACCAGTTAAACAAAAAACAGAATTTCATAGTGTTGCAACCTGCCAGCATGTTACGTTTCAAAACCTAGAACCCTAACTAACCACTTACTGTTCCGAAAATGGAAAGCCAGCATCTTGAGCACACACAAATTGACAAACCTGAGAGAAAGAGCAAGAAACACTCAATAACTCCCTTTCTGCTACACCAATTCCTACCTCCCGCCCCCTTTTGCAACCCCATAACCATATTGTATCACCACAACTAAGAAAGGGCATAACGCTTGTAAGAACCTTAAACTGGGTGAAAACTGAAGCCTAAATTCTAAAACCTACGGAGCATTGAAAATTCCAGGTCATAAAGTTGGTCAGGTTTCCAGGTCATAAAGTTGGACAGGTTAATGTGCATATGCTAAGATGTACACAGCCTCACTGCCTTACCCCCACAAAATCACAAAGGGTTAGTTTCCAAACTATCCACAGCAGGAGAAGCGGACAAGATAGGAAGAAGAAGGGTACCTCTTGTTTTTGAGCTTCAGATTGCATATATTGGATGATTCCATCAATTGTCCAGTTAGGAATAGATTGAACTGGTGTAGTCAAGGGAAGTAGTATCTCAACTGCACTTCTATTCCCTCGTGTTGCAGCAACCTGCACTGGCTTCTGGCCATCCTGTTTAAGAAAATTTTAAAGTAAGCATGAAGTACATCAGAAAATATGACAAGTGAACGATCCAGACCAAGACAATATACCAAAAGCAAAAAAAAAAAAAAAAAAAAAATAAATAAATAAAATAAAATAAAAAATTACAAATAAATAAATAAATAAATAACAACACAGCTATAGTTTATATGAAAAAGATATGTTGACTTCACCTCGTCTGTAGCATTCGGATCAGCTCCAGCTTTCAATAAACAATTG